GAGGACAGCTCGGAGATAGATACCAGCAACAGCACCAGGACCCCGGAGCTGACTGGCGAGCATGACGGCACTCTCCACTCCAGCTCCCGCAGTTCAGATGGGGCCTTCGGGAAGAAGGAGCTCAGTATGAAGAGCCAGTACTTGTCCCTCAGCCACACAGACACCAATGGGGGCAGCTTGATGGGGAGCTACTATTACAGCATTTCTCGCGGGCCCACTCCTTCCCAGCTCTCTTTGAACTCCGAGTCCGGGGAAACATGGAATCTCAGTCCCTGTGAGTATGAAGGAGCTGTGCAGGGTTTAGGGATGTGCACAGCTTGCTATTGGGCTTTATCACTGGTGCTTCCAGGGTGCACTGGCTCCTGTTTAATGGGGAAAGGGGGGGTCATCAAGCATGAGCAGCAGTGACCATGGTTCTTGTAAGCAGAGTTTTTCATGAGGGGGCATGCCTGAAGGTAGTGGAAACTGAATCAGCTCCTAATCCCTTGTATTGCTCAGACTCTGAGTAGTAGGGTCTTGTTCCAGGAGCTGCACTGCTCAGTTACAGACACACTGGGTTCCTGTGGCACCAGTGAGCTGCCAGATGGAGCACTACCTTTGGAGAATAGTATGCACAATTTCTCTGTCTTTATTCTCTGACTAAAGTGCAGTTGAGGCTGGTGTGTTTGTTGGAGGCTCTCGTTAGTGGATCTGCAGTTACTTGTACTTTCTTCAGTGGTCTTTTTGAGCTTCAGATGACAAAGCCTGTACAAAAGAAGAGACTGTGAGATAGCTGTGTGAGGGCTATTGTGCAAGATAGCAGTTACTAGGAGGTCCATAAATGTTTTTTGTGAAGGGCCTTGGATTTCTGATGTAGCAGACTGCCTTTGCTTGGGTATTAGCTTGTGATTTACAGAATAACTGAAGTTGGAAAAGAGCTATGGAGGTTATCTTGTCCAGCCCAACAAGTGACTCTACTGCAACTGCAGTCTAGTCCTGATTTTCAAACCATTCAGCTTCTTGATCTATAGAAATCTCCCCCAGCCTTTCAAGACTACAGTGCCTCTAAAGAGGAGTTGGTATAGGACCGGTGTTTAGGATTGCCGTGTTCAGTCTTGTACGCTTGAAGTGTGAGAAATACAGCAGTCTCTTGTTTTGGGTCAAATCACAAGGTCACAATTTAAAACTGAGCCCATTAAAAAGTTTTTGCTGAGGAGAAGTTGATTAGTGTTTCTGGTGGAAAATGGGCTCCACTGGCAAGTATGTACTCTCAGGCGGTATTGTGGCTATTGTATAAATTATTTGGTCATACAATTGCATGACAAACCTAATTATGTTCTTAAGCAGTTATATTGGTGTGCTCCTCAGTCCCCTTTAGCCTTACTACAGTCGAAGTCAGAGTTGACCTGAGCTGACATCGGTTGAAATGAGAAATATCTTTCTGGCTTTGTGATAAAGAATTGCCTTCCTGCCAAATCTGTCAGCAAAGCAGTGTCCTGCTGTGACTAAGCTGAGCATAGGCTGGAGGCTAGACCGAAGCTTTGTCTATCTGAAAAAGCAAATGTTGGAGTGATGGAGTCCCCTCACGTCTCCACATTGAGACCTGTGGCCTGGAAGGCCCTGGCTTTGGCCCTTTGTCTTGAGGAGACTTGATGGAAGCAGGTGTGCAGAGGGGGTGACACTGCTGCCCTGGTGCCAGTCTGCATGCTTGGGCAGCACCTGGCCAGTGGGCAGGGTGTCAATCCTACCCTTTGCTCTTCTCAGCTGTAAATGGCATCCCAAACACGAGGGACTTCCGTTCTGTGGATCATCGCCTGAAGCTGTACCTGGATATGGAGGTTTTTGAGGAGAACGCTGAGGAGTTCCAGTGTTTCCTGAAGGTGAGCTCCTGCAGCACTGCTCATTCAGCTCCTTGGCTATCTCTCTAGCCACCCTGCAAGTTCTGCTCTGGAGTGGCATCCCAGGGACCGTGAGGTGCAAAGGGAGCTGAAGTGTGTTTGAGTCGGTCTTTTCCGTGGGTGGGCTGGCAAGGGGCAGGCCAGTGCTGTGACACACCCTCCCTGTGCTCTAGGTGGTCATGGTGAAGTTTGGCCGGCAAGGAGAGTTCCTCTCAATCCTGGTTGCCTCTGATCTCAAGATCTATGTGCTGGAAGTCACTGGGGTTATCAGGTGAGGAGAGTGGTGGCAAGCGAGACCCTGTAGCAAGGCTGTGAGTGCTGGCTGGTGCCAGCCTGTGCTAGCCTTACCCTGCAGGTTTGGTGACATGCAAAGGCTCTTCTGGCAAACTCCCTGCTGCAATCTGATGTGGGAGAGGAGAGGGGGCAGCCTGCTGCAGCTGAGGGCTGTGCTCTGTGATTAGGGGACAACCTGCAGACTGGCTGAAGAAGAATGACTCTCATTACCTGTCTGATATTTCCCATCTGGAAGTGGGACTCTGCCACCAGAGCTTGCGAATGGAGTTTGAGAACCCAAAAGCTTCCTACAATCTGCTGATCCGGAACCAAAGCTGCTGTGACCAGTTCCTGCAGACCCTGACATGTAAGAGTAGAGCTGTAGCAAGGGCAGGGTGGGGGGAGAGGATTTGGAAGATATGCTTTTGGAGAGCTGTAGTTGGATGTATGTTGGAAATTCACTTCCTGTCAGCTCAGACAAAAGTAGGCAGAGAACCCAACTGACATCATAACTTCCAGTGCCTCTCTGTAGACTAGAGAGCCAACCTGAGCTGTTATGTACTGCCCTTGGGCTTACAATTACAGACATCTACCTTCTCCCTCTCTTTAGATCTCATGCAAGAGCTGCCTGCTAAGCACAGGAGTAAGGTGAAGGACATCCCCACCGTGGAAATGAATCCACAACATTGGCTATGGTAAGAACAGCCTCTGAGAGGCTAGGGTTTCGGATAAAGGATGTCTGCTTGTCCAGCAGTGCCTCAGAAGCATAGTGCTTAAAACAAGGCAACACAGGAGAAGTGTTGCCACTGGAGTGGCAGCCAGGCCTACGTTACAGGTTTAAGGCAGCTGGCTCAGGTGCCTGCTGCACAGAGGGTGAGCAGGCAAAGGGGTGTCATGGGCTGAGCCAGGCTGAGCAACCCCAGCTATCCTGGAGGAGCCTGAGCAGAATATAATGGAAGGAGGATAAACGGAGAGGCATAGAGTTGCCTCCTCCTTAGTGAGAAGCATTTGGTTCCTAGCTGGCAAGGGTGGTGGGCAGAGTAACAGGAGAGGGCAATTTTTCAACATCTGGAAGAGACGGGTCCCTCCCATCCTCAAGAGGACAGTGAAATGTAGCTAGCTCACAGCAAGCCTAGACTGGAAACAGAGTGATTCCTTGATCAGCCAGCTGTTGTATCTCCTCTAGGCCTCTGCTGGACTCCAAGACCAGAGATTCTGCAGCTGCAAATGACACTTGTTTCTTCTACCTGCTGGCCTACCTGATTCAAGGTACAGGAGATCTCAGTGGACAGGTGTCTTGCACCTTGTACTATCAGCTTACATGCTTGTGTTTTCAGTATTCAGTCTGTGGCAACAGAGCTGGGCCCTTAGAGCAAAGATGGGGTGGGGGCTTGGGTGAGGGCTTTTTTTTCTGTAGTGCTGAGACACGTAGGATAGCAGCATGCTTCTCCCTATACACCCAGTGAGTCTCCCAGCCCTTTTTGATGTGGAAGTCCAGGCTCTAGGGAGCAGTTGATGTTGCACACGAGGTTTGGTGACAACTCAGAATGGCTTCTGAGAAGCTGGAAATTATCCTAAGGGCTGGATCATTGCCCTGAGCTGAGGGAAAGCTGAGGGGTATACACACAGCTGGTTTGTGTGAGGAGCTGAAAGGCTTCTCAGTTTGGGAAAACAGAAACAGGTGTCTGGAACTTGAGATGGTAGGACAGGAGCAGCCTGCTGGAGCCTACCAAGTTCTGTCCAAGGGCTTGCTGAGAGCCAAATGTGCTAAACCTGGGATTTGAGTCTTCAGTGAACAATTCCAGTGTTGTCTTAGCTTGGGACGCTGAAAAAATCAACCTAGCTGTTAATCACATTCTGACAAATTTGTTACTGCTCTTGCATCCTCCTTCCCTATTGGCCATTGGGGAGGTGTGAGAGAATGACAATGAGAAGGAGTCTGTGGGAAGTATATTTATTGGTCTCCTCCAGCTGAACAAATAGCTTGTGGGAGGGAGAACTTAAAGTGTGTTTTTCTTACTCTACAGTTTTTCTCCTTTTTTAGAGTATGGTGCCCAAAACTGGACACAGTTCCAGCTGAGGCCTCACTGCCAAGTAGACAGGACAAATTAAACGTCAGATTTCTGATATTCCTACTAATTCCCAAGAGTGAGATATGACAAGAAAAGCTACATATTGCTGTAGCAGCTTGTGATCCCCTGTGACTTCAGCCTGTTCTGCTAGTGGTTCCCTATTTCTGTGCATCTGACTTATTCCCAAGTTCTAGTGTTTTTCTTTTTGCATCCACTGGAATCAGCTGGATGATGTTTATGCTCCATACAGTTTATAAAAATTACTTTGCTTCCTGACATACTTATAATGCACCCCAACTTGTTATTAAACTTTGTATGTGCTGTCTATTCCAAACGTCAGTTATTTGCAGCCAGACGAATTCAGGCCAAAAAGGCGGCCTTTTAGCTGGAGCTGCTGACTTTTAAGTAAGGAGTAGTAAAGCATTGTTTAAGAGGTCAAAGGATTCAAGTGTCTTTTCCCACCTCACTTGAGGACATAGGCTGGAGAAGGCTTGCTGGGCCGTGGTCTTTCATATGCATGCTCTTGCAATGAGTTTGGCTAAGCTGGTGAGACCCAGTCACATTTAGCTACCTTGCTCCCCCTCTTCAGTCAGGAAGCTGGATAAGGATAAGTTCACCCAGTTACTGTTGCTGGAAAGGATTTCCCTAGGGGAGGACTGGAAAGCAAAGCTGGTTCTGTGGTGACTCAGGCTCTCAGCAAAGCCTCTCATCCCCTCATATCCTTTTAGGGGCATCTGCTTTCCCTGTGACCCTGCTGAGCACCCGAAGCATGCTGTTTCTGCTGGAGGAGAATCACCAGTGGCAGGTGCAGCCCTCCTTGGATGCAGACCATGAGGCAGAAATGCCTCCCAGGAGCAACATCCAGTTGAAGGAGAAGCAGCCAATCAGCAGTATTAGCAATGTCATAACCTATCGCCTCTGTCCTTGTGACATCAAGCTGATGCTTTATGATGAGGTAACCAGGAGGTGGTCATGGGGCACACAAGATGCTTGGGGCTGGACTGTGCTCAGATCCTCTTCCTGCCAAGTGTCTTGGGGCTGTCATCTCCCATCCTAACCTAGGGCCTTGCCACACAGAAGCAGGGGAGCACAGCAAATTGCTGCTGAACAAAAGTCATGCAGGGACACTTCCATGGCTGGCAGCGGAGAGGGAGGAGGATGTAACTTAGGAACCGGGGGAGCTGGCAGCTGCACTGGGGAATAGCAGCTCAGGGCTGATCAGTGCTTTTGAGGCTAGGCCCTGCTCATCTGCCTCCCTTTTTTTCCTCCTTCCCAGGTGCTGAAGGTAGAGAGCACTTGGCACATCCGCACAGAGTGCCCTGAGCTCCTGGGAGAGCTGGTGGAGTGGATTCGTGCGCCCTGGGAGGAGATGTTCTCGATTGAGCTACGGAAGGCTGTGTGTGAGGGACTGGAGTGAGCTTGCCTGCTCTAGGCCTGCGGGACTTGGAGTCAAGAGTGCTGCTGTGCTGGCAATGGTGCACAAGGGTCTCCCACTCTCATATGACCTTGCTGTCCTGTGGCCTCTGCTTTCTACTCTACTCTTGCCCCTGGCCCTTTTTGGTGAGGAGGAGGGGAGCACATGATGGTCCAGACTGCACTCACTTGCACTGGGCTGGCCATGGAAGGAGATGGTGGAGGGTGATCCCTGTAATACTGCATAAGCTACAGAGTTTTAACTTGGCAGTGCCTGCTAGTCTCCTTCAGGGTCATATGGTGTGTCACTGAAGGAAGAGGGGAGCCAGGCCAGAGCATGTTCAGTGGGACATGCAGTGGTACTAGGCAAACAGCAGGCCAGAGGCAGCTGGGTGCTGTGATCTGTCTAGCAGGTGTATTTCCTGCTTGCCTAGCTGTCTCAGAACAGCTGCCATTATCTGCTGATGATTTATTTTTTCTTCTTTTCTTCCCCCTCCCTCTTATTCACGGCTTCCCTAAAACTGCCTGCTTCAGACAGGAGCCTGACTGCACAAGCAGATGAGGCATGTTATACTAATGATCCCACAGAGAGCCCTTACCTGCCTGCCGGGCAGGCATGGCTCAGTCTGCTGCTGTAGTCTTTCACTGTCACTGGGGAGGTCAGGAGCTGTGAGGCTCCTATCACAGAAATGTATTGCTTGTCGTTTAGGGGTCAGGACCTCATTGGGCACTGGCAGGTAAAAGTGAGGCTTAGGCTTTTCTGAGCAGTCCAAAAGTAAGAGTCTATTTTAGCATGAGTTTTACTATTTTCTATTGTAATAAAAGCTTATATTTATTGAATTGTCATGTCTTCCTTGTTTCATCCTCTTGTACTGCTGTAATGTCTTTATAAGGTCCTGCATACTAGCTTTGCAGCAGCCTCACGGGTTCCCCAACATCTCACACGGTTCGAGCCATTCTCCTGCTCCTGTTCAGGGTGGTGGGTGGGCTGCTAGACTAATCTTCTCCACCTGCCTGGCACCCAAGCAGCAACCAAGGAACAAGGCCCAAACAGGATTAGACTGACAGCAGGTACTGGTTGTGGTGTTCTGTGGCAGTTTCCCTCAAGAGAGCATCCTGTGGGCTTCCAGCCCCAGCAAGTTGCTCCCTGGCTGTGCAGGCCCTCAGAGGCATACCTGTCACAGGAGCTACGGCTGTGGAGGCAGGAGTACCTGCCCCTGGGTTCTTCCCTGTACCAGGCTTTACCTTCTCTCAACCTCTTCTGCTCAGACTTGAATGCAGCTGAAAAAATGCTGCTGCCTGGCCTGGGCTTGCTGTGTCACAGGGTCTCTGAATCCTGCCGAGCGAAGAGCCGGTGCAGAGGCCCTGTGTGGTGTTTCAATGCAGCTGAAGCTCTCTGGGGGGGTGAGCAGAAGTGGACCTGTTACGTTAAGGTGCTGCCAGGTGGGATCTGATACCCCAAGCAGGGACCTTTACTGATGTCTGCTTTTCCCAGAGCAATGTCTCTGCCTTGCTATGAGTGGTCAGCCCACAGTTTCAGGGCAAATTCTCCCACAGCTGAGCCTGTAGTGACAACACCTCTATTTTATTTTGAGGTGATCTTGATTTCTTTAAAGACTTGTATTTGTCATTTAGTGCCATTCAGTGTCATTCAGTGACCTGATGCCTGTTTTCTTTGGATACTGAATACAGCAGCTCTTTGCAACAGTCTCTACAACATCCAGACTTTCCACATACCCAAAGTTGGTGTCTGTGGATTCAGTTTTTGTCATCTAGAACACAGCAGTGACTGGGTCCTACAGCACCCCACTGTTCCAGTCTCACCTGGGCAGATGAGATAAAGTTTCCTTCCCTGCTCAAACCCAGCTATGCCATCCTCATAGCCTTAGGAGAGCAGGAAGATCGGTTTCCATACTTTGTAGTGGTCTGAAGGCCACCTCGCGGCATGCTGTTGGATGCTTTCTTGGAATCACTGAACGATTAGACTTTCTGCTGTCATGTCCAGAAGCAGTTGAGTTGCTGAAGGCCTGCAGTGGCCGATATTTTTATCTAGCCTTCTATAGACTTGATTGACAAGATCTATGCTGTCTTGAGGCAGATGTCACAATGCATTCCCCTTTCTCCCCTCTTCCTAAATGGGCATATGGCTGCTGCTCTCCATTCCTTTGGAGCGATCTCAGACCGCAAGCGGGAGTGAGCTCAGTGGAAGCACTGCCAGCACCTAGCACTTTGTTCAGGGGCAGGAGTCTGAGAAAGCTGAGCCAAGACAGTAAAGACCAGTAAGGGTTTTCTGTCTTCATCTCACCATTTAAGGAGCTTGTGTAAGTTCTGTCTTCATCTTCTATAGCTGCATTTTGCACAAAGGGCAGGCGTCAAAATTTGAGTTATTGGACCAGCTCACTGATGTCTCTTCTGCGTAAGCTGATCCCCTGGGAAAGCCCATCCCTGGAGCTTGCTTCTTCCATCTCAGCTGAGCTGCACCTTTGCTCTGCCATGCCTGTGCCTGGGTATGCATTGAAGGGCCAACAAAGTGCGGGCTGCCAGAACCAAAGGTTTCAGTGCTGTGCCTGGCCATAGCTCTTCTCAAGCTCTTCCTGATTTTTACTGCAGAAGTGACTGCCCATTTGCTTCTGCTCCTTGCCACGTCTCTGCAGGTCTGTGCCCTCAGCTCAGCGCTAGCCTCTTGGTGCTGTTAACAGCTCCCTGCTCTTCTGCATTCCTCCAGCCACTGACAGGGAAGCTCACATGGGCTGCCACTGACCTGTCTCCTGCCTCTTCATGAAACACTGGCTTTGTTTTCCCTGAGGGTTTTGTCCTGGTTTTTTACCAGATTAACCCCTTTGTGGTTAATTCGTGATCACGAGCAGTTTGCTGCGGGGCTCCTTGGACTAGGCGTAGCGATAGGACTAACTGGTCTCATTGCACCAGCTGGCTGTGTGCGAGGGCTTCCCCGACAGCCTTCCACTCCAGCACCGCAGGCAGCCCCGGCTGGTGGCTGTGCAGGAACAGAGGTTGTGTAGGAGAGCCAGGGTTTGTGGAAAGGTGTGACATCTGCTGAACTGCCTGCAGGTGTCTTCTGCCTGTCATCACCCCAAACATGCAGTTCCCCAGCTCTGCTCTTAGACACTCTTGATTTTACCCTTCTTTCCCCTCTCCTTTTCTGGTGCACTTGGCTCTAGCGCTCAGCTGGTAGCATGGAGCAAGGCTGGTCTGAATCTCAGTGTTTCCCTGCCTGTATCTGCCTAGAACAGGCTCTTCTCAAGGTATGCACAGCTGGAGGGATGCCCAGGCCTGGGGTGGCCACAGGGCTCCGAGACAGGCTGCAGGCAGTCGTGGGCTCAGGCTTCAGGCTGGCTATTGCCACGAGCCTGAAGTTACCACCGCTTTTGCACAGGCACATATCAGCCCTGCCTTACTTTGCTGCTCACCTCATCGATGAAAATGATGCCCCGGTCACGGGTTTGGCTATTTCAGTGCTTCCTGCTCTGCATCTCTGCTCTCTGAAGCAGGACTGCCTTGAGCATACATAGCCTGTGGGTTAGCTGTCAGCCCCCTTGCGCTATGTCTAACTAACGAAGCCTTGTTTCTAATACAACTGGGTGACTGGAAGGACTGGTCATTTATCTC